CGGGACGGTCCAGAGCGGCGGAGATGCGGCGCCGGTATACGGGCTCGGAAGGCCACTTCCGGGCCCTCCCTGTGCACTCTCGCGCCAGCCTGGAGAGGGGTGCAGGGTAGGGGAGGGCCCCCTGACCTCCACCTCCCCCCACCCCAGCAACACCGGTCCAGAAGCCTCCAGGCAGGTTTCCCACAGGCTTTCTCTGGCCCCGCAGCTTAACAGGGACAGAACTGGTGAGTGCCTAACTTTTTCCAGGCACTGTGCTGAAGGCGAGGCGCTGTTCTTTTTTTTTTTTTTTTTTTTTTTTTTTTTTGAGGCGCTATGATCTTGGTGGATATTGATTCGATGATGTAGATCATTTCGTGGATGGGGCCAAGAAAGGTTTACGTTGGCTCAGGTTATACATCTGGAAAGCCGTTCAGGCAGGAGTTGGGGCGCCTTTGATCAGTCATCCTCGAGCCTAACTCTCCCTCTGGCTGTTCCTTTGGGGTACGGAACATGTATGTCTGCATCGCCTACAACTCGCCCAGTGCAGGTTACGTAAGGCGCCTACTAGGCGCTGAATGCATTTACTACACCTCTGCGAGTTACTGAAGCGGCCCAAGGAGCCTGGCAGCTCTTGTCAAGAAGTCCCCATCTAGTGGCTGAGACAGGCATGCAAAAATAGAGTACGTATATGGTATGCTTCTCATCTCAGAATAATGCTTTTCATGCATAAAAATAAACACATAATCTTTAAAAAATTAAACATAGAATCACAGCAACTCCCCTCCTAGGTATACCAACAAGTACTGAAAGCAGGGACTCAATGAGATACTTGTACACCAGTGTTCACAACAGCGTTATTCACAGTAGTCAAACGGCAGAAACCACACAAATGTCCACCAACAGATGAATGGATAAGCAAAATGTGGTGAGTAAATACTGTGAAATATTATTCAGCCTTAAAAACACCTGCAATTCTGACAACTGATACAACATGGATGAACTCCAAAGACATCATGCTAAGTGAAATAAGCCAGACACAAGAGGACAGATATTGTATGATTCCACTCATTTGAGGTATCTAGAGCAGTGGTTCTCAACCTTCCTAATGCCACGACCCTTTAATACAGTTCCTCGTGTTGTGGTGACCCCCAACCATAAAATTATTTTCGTTGCTACTTCATAACTGTAATTTTGCTACTGTTATGAATCGTAATGTAAATATCTGATATGCAGGATGTATTTTCATTGTTACAAATTGAACATAATTAAAGCATAGTGATTAATCACAAAAACAATATGTAATTATATATGTGTTTTCTGATAGTCTTAGGTAAACCCCTGTGAAAGGGTCGTTCGGCCCCCAAAGGGGTCGCGATCCACAGGTTGAGAACCGCTGATCTAGAGTGATCACATTCACAGAGACAAAGTAAAATGGTGGTTGGGATGGGAGAGGGCTATGAGGAGTTAGTGTTTAATGGGAAGATGAAAAGTTCTGGCAATGGATGGTGGCACAACAGTGTGAATGTATTTAATGCCACTAAACTGTACACTTAAACTGTAATTATGGTAAATTTCATTTATCATTTGCCATGATAACAAATACATAAGACAAACCCTGGCTGGGTGGCTCAGTTGGTTAGAGCATCATCCTGATGCACCAGGATTGTAGGTTGGATCCTCGGTCGGGGCACATGCAAGGATCAACCAAATGAGTGCGTAGGTAGGTGGAACAACAGGTTGATATTTCTCGTTCTCTCTTGCCCTTTTTCTCTAAAATAAATAAAAATTTTAAAACACAT